CCACGATTTACGAAGCATGATTGGTATTAATTACTACCATTCATTACTGTTAGTATTATGATTACTCGTCCTTGGATTGATTGATCCATAATATGTACTTGCCCAAACAGGAACAAGGAATTCTCGGACAAGAATCTACGTGGACCAGTTACATACCAATTATACATATTCCATTATAAAGAATTACTGATCACATTCGTAGTAGGATAGTAGGCTTTTTATACCTGATTGTACAGGCCAGCGACGCTATTGTTCTTGAACCATGAGAATACAGGTGGACATTTGTCTGATATTGCCAAAACTTGTCGGTTACCAGCTTGCAATCCATTAAACAGAAGTAAACATTACCCCCGCGTCGGTCGTCGACGAACTACTAGCAGATATACAGCAGTAGCAACAGCAGCAGCAGTTGTTGTTATTGTTGTTGTTGTTGTTATTGAATCCAGCTAGCTCTTTATTTTAAGTTGAGCAACCTATTTTCAGGCATTTAATATGTTCAGAACGTCTGCAATTGCTTCTGTGTAATAGTTTAGATCATGATATATTATGTGTGTACAATGCTTATCAGCTTTATAGAGCAGTAACCTAAGTTATTGAGACTCATTATTATTTTTTATTTTTATTTTTTAAATGGTTTGAATAGTATATAGGAAATATATTGTTCGTAGGAGTCAATTCATCTTTTTTTTTTGCATCACAAGCCTGTCACTGACGAATGAATGAAACAACAGTGATATCAGTATCGCGGACATCGGTTATTTAAGGGAAGGAATAGTTAAGAGTCAATTTATGGATGCTGAAATTAACTTTTAATACATTCAAATAGTTCAGAACATACTGTAAGTAATGACAGTTTCTATAATCTATTCGAGCCTCGCGATTGTACCGGTAGCATCCAATCACTAGTCATCTGGACCTACCTGTAACTAATCTACATGTCAACACGCCTACAGTAACATTGCTCTCAACGAGTAGTTATAGCCAAATTAATAACAAAAATCAATTACGGCGAAGAACCGAAAGATCGCCCTTATTGTTTGATTACTAACCGTTGGACAATTATCGTAGCGCCTGAACTCGTTTATTGAATGAAAATGACAGTTGCTGTAGTCCGATTAACATTTTAAGTCACATCTATTTATATTACCTCAAATCTTGTTAGAGTATCTATTACTAAGAGCGTAGCTGTCTTCCTTCAAAACCCTTAGTAATTTGAAGTTTTTTTTCCTCTCTACAATAACTCCTCAAATTGGAGCTTTTTTTTCAAGCCCGGTTCAATAATGTTGGTCATAATATGTTCCCTTGTCTAGTTGTGAGCTTATACGTACGAAAGACGATAAATAGTGTTTGAATGGAGAAATTAAGTTGGCAACTTAATGTTGGAAGGTTCTATAACGCGTCTTAATTTCGTCAAAGCATATAAACATCACGTGAATGACTTGAGTAGAATTTTAATCATGTAATTACATACAATAGCGGTCAATAACATTATAGTAGAGTATAAACGGGTATTGATGTATTGCTTAGTGCAGCACACAATCACCAGTGTAACATTTCATTGATCGATCGCGTATAATTTGATTAAACTAATCTCTATTGAAGGCACCTATGCAAGCTTTAAAAGAGAATCATTTTCCAAAGAATTAGACTGCTTATAAACGTTCTCTATGAACCGGAAAGTTTTTATATCCGGGCACCTTTCGTGATTGGCGTGTTATGGCATGTCTATTTGACAGCAGGTATTCATCCCCATAGTGCGCGTTTATATGACGACCAGATCGAAGCGCATTGAGGTGTTACTGGGCCATTGTCAACCCATAATATGGCCAAAGCATTTTCTACTACCTTTCCTAACAAATGTTGGTATTTTAATTTGCCAAGTTTTAATTCTGCAGGAAACTTGGCAGAAAAGACGATCACTTTAGGAGAGATTGGGTTAGACTATCATTATGATAACTCGCCTAGAGACGTACAGAGAGAAGTGTTCATTAGGCAAATTAAAAAAGCGATTGACTTCAATAAGCCTTTGGTTATACATACAAGAGAGGCTGAGCAGGATACCTGGGACAAGAGTGGAAAGTGCATGTGCATTGTTTTCCTGATTCACCAGAGTTTGCCACGAAACTATTCGAGTATTTTCCTAATCTGTTTCTGGGAATCACAGGTCAGTAGGCGGGGGAAGGTGGGAGGCGGTGTGAGTGGAGGGAAAAGACAAGTTTACGTACGTATTACTGTTGGACTAATGTCAGGCTTTAGAGTAATCAATTTGAATCTGTCCAGTTCAGTATTTACTGTAGCTTGTTCTGCTAAGGAGCATTATATTATCTTGGGATGAATTATGTATTTCAACACCAATCATTTGCATGTAAGGCAAATTAATATTCTGTGTTATTGCTTGTGGGCTCACCAGCATAAAGATCAACAACAATGGCAGCAGTACACTATTAACACGACAATATCAAATTATTCTTTACATCTGATATACCAAATTCAAAGCCGACTCCCATACAGTCACATTCACGCCTTTGTTCATAATAAATTTCTCCTATGACACCTATATATAAAATCCCTCTATATAGTCACATCGTAAAATAAACACTCGCGAGTAATGGTAATAGTAAATGCTTACGGGTCCGTATTATTTTGTCGACAATCATTTCACCGACAGTACATTTCACCGACAATTAACTACTAAAAAAGGATAAATTCGAAATAATGTTGGTAAATATTTGTCGGTGAAATGATTGTCGGTGAAATGATTGTCGATGAAATGATTGCCTCCCGTAATCAGCATTAACAAATAACTGCTAGTTGATAAAGTATCAACTAAACCTTAAGTAAAAAAATGCTCGTTATACATATTTGGTACAGTGATAAAAAAGTTTTCGTAAATTTGCAAAAAACCGAAATGGGTCAACAATTTTTGACCCGTTCTCAGAGGTCAAATCCTAGAATGGATCGTAACATTATTACTGCCTACATAATTTGTGTATATTTCAGAAAAACTAATATAATATACTTCATTGATTATGTTAATAAAGCAAAAATGCAATGAAGTGTAGGTAATATTATAGATTATTATAATAAAATTTATTTAATTTATGTCTATACAGTTGTTTTCTTTGTTCTATTTAATTAGCTATTAGCAGACACGGGACATGTCCCTTGGAGTGATTTTAATAGTAAAGTGTAAAGTTATACAAACCAATTATTTGTTTTGACACTGACATAAATTTTCAATAAGACAGCAGCAATTGTAATAATAATCAAACTTAAGCATCTTGTTAAGTCCTAACATTTTTGCAGTTACAGGTGTTAAAAGCTAAAGAGCTATACCAGATTAAAGTTAAGGTGCTTTTTAATCTTTAGGTTATGTTTCTTCTCAAGATATTTTTGGTTTAATTTTATAACTCTAATTTTCCAATGGATAATACATCAATGAACATACTATAAAAGTTTGGTGTGGAATGTGTGCATACAGCTATGGACAAACTGCAATTTCACTATAGAAATTGTGTGTTATGGCTTGGCAAATTCTTTCCATTTTGGTAAATCGAATAAATTTGCAGTTTGTCCATAGTATTTTCTCCTGTATGTACGCATTCCTTCATAGTATGTTCACTGATGCATTGTCCATTGGAAAATTAGAGTTATGAAATTAACCAAATATCTTGAGAAGAAACATAATTTAATGATTAAAAGTACCTTAATATTAAATTTAATCTGGAATAGCTTTTAGCGGGTCATACTTTTAACACCTGTAACTGCAAAATATTAAAACTCAGCAAGATGTTTAAGTTTAATTATTATTGCAATTGCTGTTGTTTTATTGATATCTAAGAGAAAATTTAAAACAAATAATTGGGTTTGTGTAACTTTACTATCAAAAATCACTCCAAGGGACATGTCCCGTGTCTCGGTTCTCCGTAGTTGCCAATAAAAATCCTATAAAAACGACATGTCCCGTGTCTGCTACTTAGAGCGACAAGAGAAGTTTACTAATTACATTGTTGTTTGTAATATCAAGATTGAGCAAAGATTTATCAATTACTCATTGCATTAATACAAATACAGTAACTTATATCTGCAAGCTATATATTGAAATTCCTTATTTGTTGAACGACATACAATACGTTTTATACACTATTTTTGACTATATCCAAAATGTTCAGTTGGTGTAATCGACATGATGTTATATGACGTACGTGTAGTTGATCATTTCCAAGTGGTGAATTTCTAGAAGGTGGCCGAATATTGGTACCATAATCCTCTTATATCTCTCGTCATTCCCATGCACTGGTATATCACTCTGCTCTTGGGTTAACCAGAATTGGAAAATGCTATAGGCAGGAGCTTCCGTATAGAAGGCGTAATATAGACCATGCACGCATATATAAGAAAATATGCGTATATAATAACAAGCCAATATGTAACTCCTTAGACAAAATAAAAACTACGCTCCGTCAAACTCCGTAACCATTTATTGTGAAACAGAAAAGAGATATATATATGCAAACTTCCTCAATTTAAAGACATGAATCAGGTTGTCTTTACTCTCACAAGGTATGTGTAATTTATCATGCAATATTTGTTATAAGTTTATACTAAATGGTACTATTAATGTTTTGTTGTGTTTTTTTTTTCACCATTAGCTCCCACATTTAACAAGTGTTGACAGACGTGTTTTTTCTCTTTGTGCATCTATAGGACTCATTTTACGCGTATTTAGATCAAACAGCGGTGCTATGACATTTCAAGAACCGTTTATGGCAAAGTAAGTTTATTTAATTTTTGTATTTATTTATAATGTTTCAAAGGCTACTTTAAAGTTTAAGCAATAACTTATTGATTGTACACGTAATTAAGTAATATAATCTGATACGTTTTTTTGCTTTAGTCGTGATACATCCAGTCAGTCACTGTTTGAAATTACCCACAAACATTGTTACAAGCAACATAACGCAATTTTTTTGGTACAAAAATTAGTACCAAAGCCAGCAATGAAACGCAAGATATGTTCCGAATGTATAAATCAATCTATTGCCCTGAATGATCTAGAAAAGTCGGTCGACAAGTTGTGTAAGCTGGTATCAGATTTTGTTAATGACGAGAAAACGATAACCGAAAATGACAATATTAAAAGGCAAACGTTGTCACAGCTGGTAATTAACGTTGTTGATAGATAATTTATTTCTAATGTTATATAATTCACTAATCAAATTTTTTTAGACCTTAACACATCTTCAAAAAAGGATTAACGATGAATTACTTACAGTCAAACTGTTTGAAGCACCCCACAAACGTTGTGAGACAGAAACGACGCCGATTGAAAATCTATCACGGTTAACAATCAAAGATGAGACAAAGGCCCAGAAAAGCTGCCGTGATTGTGTGAAGCAGTGTACTTTGGACGCCGTCAAAAAATCACTCGACAAGTTGTGCGAGACACTCAATGAAACGCATAACAATAAAAGAATTGTTGAAAAACGAGAGATATCTCACTTGGTAATTTTTATCTACTATATACTTTTTTCTTGAAATGTACATAATTTTGCAATACTAACGTGTTCTGACGATTTAGAGCACTAAAGACTTGAATGGCTTTGTCTTGTTATGCATGGACAAATTCCGTCGTTGAGTTATTATTATAATGAATATTTTCATTTTATATCGCACGGTCTTTGTTTTTCTTAATTTCTTTTTTTTCAATTATTGATATTTTGGGCAAAAGGCTCATGTTTACATTCTTTTAGGGTAAGAGTAAAGTATTAGTTATAAGACTTGTTAGCAATCTGTGCTTTTTATATGAAGCCCGTAAAAGTACGCTGACAAATTTTCAAGTCTTTATAATAAAACTCCTTACATTATAGATATCAGTTTGTGTCTCATATTAAATATATGATTGTATTTATTTTATTTGTGGTCAACAAAGAGCTGTCATCTAAAGTAAAGAATGCTTTTGCAAAGATATATAATGAACTAGACAATAGACTATACACTGTTAAGGCCCTCATTAAATGCGTTATATCTGAAGTTACCGGTAGGATACGTATAAGCATATTTATTTCTGCCAACTTAAATAGATGTAAACATTAAAGCAGATGGCGTAATAGTTAAAATTGGTTAGTCAATTGTAACAAGAAAAAAAAAGCATCAACACTTGTTGATCAATTATTACTTCCGAAAAATTCAAAGACAATACTTGGTTGATTTTTAAGGGAAGGGCGTCATGGTTTGTTGTCTGTAAGAAAAAAAAATTTTTTTCTTTTATTTTGAGACACCCCCTGAAGATGGATGGGTTACACTGTCGAGGAGTCGGAACAGACTAGCGAACAGCCCGCGAAAATTTCAAGTAAATACTAAAAGAAAGATATTAAAGGAACTGTTTAAACTTTGCTGCTGTAAACTTGGTGCTTTAGACAACGGTAGTCGAGTTAAAATTTATGTCAGTTTTAAATTTACATACGTATGTTAAAACTATTTTAAGTAGCGAATTCTAAGACATTGCAAGGTTAATCATAATGATAAATAATATTAATTTCTAATGTAAATTGTAGTATTAGGCTTACTTTAGTGTACGCTAAAACTATCTTGTTAATCAGAGAGTTATATCTCGTTTAAGTATGTATTTAAAAAGACACTTATATTTGACTATTCAAAAGTTTATACAAGCCCTCCCCTCCCCCCCCTTTTTTTTTTTAGAAAATCAGTTTGTTTACAATAATTCCGACATTTTTATACACTAGTACTAGTCTAAATTAGTTCATTTGTGTTAGTTATAATGGACGATGAATATGCTGTACTCCCATAAAAGTGTGTCTCATTTCTTGATTATACGGAGACAAGGATGCACAGGTTTGCTTCCTACGCATCGATATTTTTTTTACATCAAAATTAACTGTTGATTCAGCTCAGCGTAATGAGTGCAATTGTACTCATACCAAAGTCGTTTGTTACTATTAGGACTGATAAATCGTCTATAAAAATATTAGCTTTGTCCTCCGATATAGCTTGCTGCAATCTAACTTTCTTCAGACAACAATCACAATGTAAAGCTGCAGTGTTCTGTGTGACAGGTAATCTCCGTATATGTGTTACCAAACTTACAAATGTCATATCTTTCCGAACATTCCCGCTTTTTTTCAAATATAGTAAATTCTATAAAGTTGTTTATGTACTACGTATCACAATCAAAGAATCAGTTTATCTTGGTGGGCTTGACCCCTAGGGCGTATAGTTTGTAAGTTGTTTGTTGAAGAAAGGAGCGCATGCAGATTTTAAAGGAGTGCAGTAAATATAGGGGGGAGGTTAAGCCACAAGTTTATACTCTCTTAAAATTTTACCTTACCGAATTAATGTTGCAAGCGTTAACTTCGGCTTGAGCTAAATAAATCCGGTAATTGATGCATAACATGGCAATCAAATTTCTGGTATATTTATTGTGACATATCACATATATGATACCACAAGACTTGGGCATTCGAAAGGTATGATTTTCATACGTCATACTTAAATTATGTCACGTAATCACAGAATTCAATACAACGTGAAAACAATATAGTGTAGATTCGGTGTCGATAATAGGTTTACACGTTAATTCAACATATATTAGTATACTGTGAGATAAATGCCTGTCTGTCAATGCAGAAATATATTACGTAACTTTTAACGTGCTTATTGTTGTATTGTTACAAAGTTTTGTAACCAATTTCAATTAGTAACCAATGTAATCGTTTGTGTGTATATATATTTATTTATTTCGAAACTTTTTTGTTACATAGCTAGAGCAAAAAACTTGTTTTATTGTTTAATAATAACGTATTTATACAATAACAATATTAGAAAGCTTGATAAACATAATAATATAATACAGTTTTAAATACAATTTAAAAGTTTAGCGTCATAAATTGTATAAAATGTAAATACACCAATAGGTTAGAATAGTAAAGCTGCTATTAAATATTGTATAGTAAACAAAAATAAAAATATTGAGTGTTATATAATATACTTATATTTAACACTCCTGAACACCACGTTCGGTACGGTCGGGGATGGGGGTGCTTCAAACAGTGACTGACTGGATGTATCAGTACTGTTGAGAGCACGCTATTGTTATTTAAAAAAAAGAAAGAAAACCCGTTATTATTCGGTATTTGAAAGTGCACTTATCAAAGACAGTATGTCATAACGTTTTTCTTCTTAAGGATTACAAAAGTTAAGTTGAACTATTAGGTTTCTAAATGGCTATACTTTCCGTAATTTTAAATTGCTCTATGTTGGTAGCTTAAACTAACGTAACTACATATCTTTTAATTTGAGCTATATAAGACAATACTTACATTTATATAGCCTTGAAAACGCGCGTAAACATGTGTTCTGGATGCGTGTTAGAAGGCCACACATGTTTACAGCGTAATGCTAGAAGACGTGCGTTGCAAACAAGCTTGGTAGATTTACTTGTAACTGAATGCATGTTCAGCAGCAATGTACTTGCAACTAATAAAGGTCTGTGCATATCAGACAAGTGCTTGACGTAGCAACTAAGAACTGCTAGAAACCTGCTTTTTGTGAATGCGGCAAGTCTTGTAAAATTTGAGTCATACATAGAAAACGATCTAATAAAAAGAATTATAAAAGGTTAGCATATATTTATAATAAACGTTTTCACCGCATAGAATATGGAAGCGAGCAACGCGTGTTGTATAGGTAAGAAGAAAAAGAACTTTTGTTATATTAATTATCTATTTGTACACGCTAAATTGGTTTGGTTTCATTGCCGATGTTTAGGAAATATCATAATCGATAGAGTATCCAATATCAATACATGCCTTATTGCTAGTGAATATCGAAACAATTGCGAAGTCGGTGTTGGAAAGCGAGTGTATTTATAAGTAAATGCTACACAAACGTGTCATTATTTTAGTTAGTTCAGTGCATTCTCAGATTAGTAACGGTCAGGGACCTCTTATTTTTTCGTTAAATATACGTCAATTCAATTGTATTAATATGCAGTATTGCAATCAATTAGGAGATAGGGGAAGTAAAACAGACGTTGCTATATATTTTTCTTAAAGCAGGGAATAAAATATAAAAATTTAGATTAAGAAAAAAATAACTTCAAACGAGTGGAGTAATGCTCCGAAAGTTTATTATAACCGGCGGTAAGTTATTTATGTAAGGCAATTGAAATCTAATAAGAATTTCTACGCCATTATAGTAAGACAAGGAAAATAATGAAAATTGACGTATCGGCCGGCGGCGTCTAGCGAAATACAGTTAGTACGACTACCCCCTTTGATTATACTAACATACCCTAGTGTACTGTCTATGTTGAAAGAACAGTTTTTATTACTAAAAAGAATTCATTCTTTTTATTTATGATTGAACTTTTGCGGGCAGAAGGGCATCGGTAAAACCATATAACCTTAGATACAATGGCGACTGCTATAAAGTTGAGTTTTGTGTTCTGTTGGAAAGTTTCAAATATGTAAATGTTTAGGCCATTTCCTTGACAGCAAATGACACACAATCTTGTTTGTGAACAAACTTTATCTTTCGATAGAATCAATGTATAAAGTTTTACTTGCTGTGTAATAAGCACTCTTATTAATTATGCAAACGAGCGCTTGTATTAGCGTAATTATACAATCTTTGACAATGAAGTGACATTCTTGGTTATGGTAACGTCGGGCGTCAATTGATCAGTAATACAACTCACCTCTTAATACCATATATTAACATGTGCATGTGAATATTTAGCGTAACTGTAAGTTTCTTATCAGAAAAAAAAACGCCGCTCTATTTTTCTTTTGCAATATAGATGCGATCAAGGCAAGATTGATTTCATCAGTATAATGACAAACCAATAAAGGGCAACTCTGGTAGCTGTCAAACAGATAAGAACAAGTACGCCGCTGATCCCTATTATTTGGAAAATAAACATCAAACACGCACGATGGTTATTCACATGTCAAGTGGAAACGTTTCTTTAATTAGGTAATACGAATGGTCAAAATCATTGTTCCGAAAAGCGCCTCAAACTTGTAACTTGAGTGATGTTACGCAAGATTTTCAATTTTGATAATCTTAACAAAGCAGAGCGTTTGCATAATTATCGTGACAAAATGGCCGTATCAAAGAGCGCAGAATATATTGTGGGAAGACGATTGTCGATGGGGTCATAACAGTAAGCAGAGCAATGAACTTTTATATAGTTTTTTTTGTTTTTTTTTTGAGTTACTTTTTCAAACGTAATGCTCTAATTTATGAACGTAATGTATTAATTGATGTTGATAAAGAACGTTGTAGTTTCTTATAGGAAAGTGACTCAACAAATTAAGACAGCAATGAGAAATAAGCTGTACACAAAAGTACCATAGTTGTCTCTATGAAGATGCAGTATCTAGAAAAATTTATTATATAGAGTTAAAGTGGATAAATCTATTGATTGTTGACCTTTTAGCATTATACTGTTGTTCGTTGTTGATAAATGAGACAGCCTCAACATCTAAGAAAATAGGCTTGAACACAATTCATAGACATCTTCATGAGATTGGTTTCCATGATCGAGTAAGAGTGAGAAAACCTTGTAACAAAAGAAAATCAAGTTAGAAGATTAAATTGGGCCAAGGAAAGGCA